CTGGCAATATGCCATAGCGGCTGGTTCAGAATATCCCCCTCGCGAACCTCCACCCGCGGACCAAGACTCCAACCGAAGCACAGACCTGAGAATTGGTAGTCGGAGAATCAATAGCTTGTAAATAGATTTTCTGTTATGCGATGCTCGTAATTCTCAATAGGGCCCCCTTTCTGTTAAGTGAAGTGAGGCGGGGTCGCCGAACGAACGACGTTAGTTTACTTGCACGCGATCTCCTTCCAGAGCCAAGACATTAACAGTCTAGAATCTTTTTTCATTTTTTACGTTCTGTTAGGTTCTTATCTTAGATTCCGTCATGACGGAGCCTAGACCTTTTCTTCTTTTACTTCACACAATAGAAAATTGAATTAATATATATTAAATATATTATTTTATAAGGGCAAATATATATAATATATAATAATATTAAATATATTATTTTTTATGGGCAATAGTTAGGAGAGGTGCGCCTAGCTTTTTGTCTTTTTGATAGCTGGAAGTTCTCCAAAAGTATGAAAGGCTGGAGGGTTTTGTACCAACCATTCTAGTGTGGTTGGATTCTGTTCAACAGCCCAAGGACTTTCCGCACATCTTTTGTTCTTTCCACTGCTTGAAGTGATTGCGACAACTACGAAGAAACGACGAATCCCAACTACGGATATATAAGAACCGAAACTGCTCAGAGCATTCCATCCGGCGTAAGCATCTGGATAATCTGGAATGCGACGTGGCATGCCCGAAAGCCCTAAGAAATGCATGGGAAAGAAGGTCAGATTAACCCCGAAAAAAGTAATCCAAAAATGGATTTGGCCTAAAGTTTCAGGATATGTCCGACCAAAGATTTTACCCACCCAATAGTAAAATCCAGCAAATAAAGCAAAAACGGCTCCCATAGAAAGTACATAATGGAAATGTGCAACCACATAATAAGTATCATGTAGAGTAATGTCTAGCCCAGAGTTTGCTAGAACAATTCCAGTGAGCCCTCCTATGGTGAACAAAAAGATGAACCCTACAACAAATAACATGGGTGTTTTGTATTGTATCGAACCTCCCCACATGGTAGCAATCCAACTAAAGATTTTTATTCCAGTGGGCACAGCTATGATCATGGTAGCTGCGGTGAAGTAGGCACGCGTATCAACGTCTAAGCCCACAGTAAACATATGATGAGCCCAAACTAGAAATCCAAGAACACCTATACTTATCATGGCATAAACCATGCCTAGATACCCGAAGACCGGTTTTCTTGAAAAGGTCGATACGATATGACTAATAATACCGAATCCAGGCAGAATGAGAATATACACCTCTGGATGACCGAAGAACCAAAAGAGATGCTGGTATAATATTGGGTCTCCCCCTCCTGCAGGATCAAAAAAGGTTGTATTAAAGTTTCGATCGGTTAATAACATTGTAATTGCCCCTGCCAGTACCGGAAGTGATAATAAAAGTAGGAATGCTGTCACTAGAACGGACCACACAAAAAGTGGTAATCTATGCATAGTCATTCCAGGTCCACGCATGTTGAAGATAGTTGTTATAAAATTGATAGAACCTAAAATTGATGAAACACCTGATAGATGAAGACTAAAAATTGCTAAATCAACTGCTCCTCCAGAATGGCTGGTAATACCACTTAAGGGCGGATAGACCGTCCACCCAGTGCCGCTGCCCACTTCTACTATGGCTGAGCTTAATAGGAGCAAGAGACTTGGTGGCAACAACCAGAATGATATATTATTTAATCGTGGAAATGCCATGTCAGGTGCACCTATCAGAATCGGAACAAACCAATTACCAAATCCACCTATCATCGCCGGCTGTCGCGACCGAGAAAATTGCATTTTCCCGAACGCTAATGTATTAATCCCCGTCCCAGGAAAAGCAGGGGTACACCAAACAAACATGATATAAAAGACACATCTTTATTACATCGATAATATTTACATTATTACAAAGGCGCTTCAGGCCTGACAATCAAAAATAAACAGCAGCGGACTAGCGGGCCTACGGCTCCATCTTCACAGGCGCTCAACTGGGGTATAAGCCAAGACTCCACCTAAGACTTCTTCTCCAAAGCTTCTCTTACTGAAGGGGGGGAGAAAGATAGAGCAAGAATGAGTACAACCACAGTACTCAGCAAGCCACACCGGCAGATGCATGATTAATGCAAGGGGGTACAAGGGGTAATAATATAGGGGTTAAGTTTTGCAGAAAACAGCATTTAAAAGTCACTTAGTTGCCCAAAGCCATTTTATAAAGACGACCCTAGAGCTACACAAAATTATTAATCAAGGCCGTGAACCCTCACGAACCTGCCTTAACCCAAGGCCTACGATGATTCAGACCGAACTGGCAACCCGACCCTGGGTCCCAGCTCGTCCCAAGCCAACCCAGGCCAACCATTCCACATTTTAGTTGTTGAGCAAATTTTAAGAATTAAAACACTAACCTGGGTACATTGCTCGGCTTGCCCATAACCGAGGGCGCGGCTATTCGAATAGATTATACTCTGATCAGAGGTGTACATCTTTACCCACAAGACACATCTTCCTCACGTGCAACCACGTGCCACATACCACCACGGTATACAGACGGAAGACGTGACATAGTTTCCAACCCATCCTAGCCATAGACAAGAGTACCGACCCAATCCCACCTACGGCCGGAACCTCCGGGACAGGTAGGCAGGATTGAGCCCCCTAGCAGCAGGGCACCAACCCTCTGCCATGACATCTCGACTACCGGGCCGCAGCTCGTGTAGCCTTCATTTGCCCTGGAGAATGTCCATCGACCCCCGACTTCATCCATCTCCAATCCGTGTACTTTTGTTTATAACCAGACTGAGCCACAAACTAAGCCTTACCCACTAGACATGTGGAAGTACGGTAGTGCTTTGCAACAGAGGCCCGAGCTTAATCCTTATAGTGGCCGGGGTGCTACTTCCCACAACTGGCATGCACCCAAACCCCACCGAAAACAGGTTTTAGGGGCTTTGAAAGAGGAAGAGAGGGGTATGTCCAATTCCACCATAAGCCAAACATTCCATAGTATCCAAATGATATGAGAATTCCCAAAGTCTAAAGTTATAAAACCACCTAATGTTGCCTAATTAATCAGCGAAGCATCTACCTAAATTCATACTAGTGGAACCATGAATAGAGTACCCACTAGTTGGGGTTTTATTTATTCTAGGGTGAACAAGGTAATAATAACAATAGCAATAATAATATGGTCATAACAAAGGTAAATAGGCATGGCTAAATAAAACAGTGATAACGCGGGAATTTAAATAAAGCGATAATGCAATAATTTAAATCAACATAATTTTACAAACTGGGATCCAATATGTTCAAGGATGATGTGACTTGCCTTGCTCGCTTTCCCAAACGTCGGCTTCTACTTCCACGAAGAGCGGATCTTCCGAAGCTGCAGCGTCTACACGACCAACGGAAAAGAAAAGGCTTTTACTCTAATAAACTCCATATAACACGCAGGAACAAAGCACAAAAATGGGTTCTTGACTTCTTAAGGAAAAATTAGAGACTTGAACGGTCCAATTCCGAGTTCAAATGGCCAAGTTATGGCCATTTGAAGTTTATATGCTCTTTAAATGGATATTTACGAATTTCTTCATTTAAATTTTAATTTAAAAACTCATTTATTGCGTCAGCCGGGAGAGGGGACGCGCGGACCGGGTCCACGGGAGTGGGGCCCACGCGTCAGCCTCACGGTCCACGGTGGACCGGGCGCACGCGGCTGACGCCGGCCGGCGCCGTGGGTCCCACGCGTCAGCCGCACCCGCGGGCGCGGGCGGCTGACGGCCGGGCCCCACCTGGCAGCCGCGGGGCGCGCCCGAAGGCGGCCTCGCCGGCACGGCCGACGGGAGGCGGCGCGCCCGCGCCCCGATGGTCACCGCCGGCGACCACCGGCGCGGCGGAGCGGCGCCCGAGAGAGAGGAGAGAAGAGGGAAGCGAAGCGGCGGTCCTCGGCTCACCCCGGGTCGACGGCGGCGACGGAAACGGCGACCGAAGCGGCGAGAGGCGGCGGCGCGGTTCGGAGCGACGAGGACGGCGGCGCTCCGACGGTCTGCGGGCGAAACGGAGGAGCGGACGAGGTCGGCGAGGACGCGGCGAAGCCGAAGGAGGGGGTGCCGAAGCGGGAGGAGGTCCGGGGCGACGACGGCGGCGAACCGGAGCTCGGCGGCGACGGCAGAGAGAGAGGACGACGGCGCGGGCTTGATTCCGACGGGGAGATTGAGCTGCGAGCGGCGGAAACGGAGGAGGGAGGCACGGGGAACGATTATATAGCGTCGGGAGGGAGAGAGAGCGGCCGGAGAGGAAGGAAACCGGCGCGGCGATCTCGGCTCCATCAATGACGCCGGCGAGGATTTCGGGAGGGATTCCAAACGAATCCGAGGGAGAGAGAGAGGGAAAAACGGGGGAAAAGGGAGAGGGAATCACGGGGAGTGATTTCCCCCTCTTTATGGCGCGCGGGGTCGGCGGGATGCGTCGGAATCGGCGGCGGCGGCGGCGCTAGGGCACGGGCGGGCGGCGGGAGCGGCGCGAGGATAGGGATGACAGGTGGGCCCCACCCGTCAGCGAGGGTGGCGGGCGGGCCCGCCCGTCAGCGGCGCGCGCGCGGGGAGGAGGCCGATGGGCCGCGGGGGAGAGGAGAGAGAGGGAGGGAGCTGGGCCGAGCCGGCCCAGTAAGGGAAGGGGGGAAAAGAAGACTTTTTTAGGATTTTTCTTTTTATAAAACCATTTTAACTTTGTTTATTTCTTAATAATTATTATTTGTGCTCTGAAAATTCCACTAAAATTTGAGGGCTCCTTTTAGACCAAGGAGAATTTAACAAAAATTCTCCGGGCCACATTCGAATTTTTCTTGGACGTATTTTAGTGTTTGCCAATTTCTTTTCGAATTTTAATTAATTCTATTATTCCTTTTAGAAAATGATTTTTATTTCGGGATGAATTTATCAGGACGTGACACTGGCATAACCATAAAAAAGATCATTAAAAAAGCGTGAGCTGTTATTAAAACATTATAAAGTTGATGATTCCCACCAAGAATTTGATCGCCGGGTCGGGCTAATTCCATACGAATCAGTACGGAGAAGCATGTGCCCATCACTCCTGCAATGGCACCGAAGATGAAATATAGAGTACCGATATCCTTGTGGTTAGTGGAGAAGAGCCATCGGACCAGATTTGTCATTTGATTTTCGTTTTGAAAACTTTCAAGCCTTATCAGAGAGGGGCTCAGGGCTGGAAGAGAAGAACCTTGATACTAAACCAAGTTTCGATAACTTCTTCAGCTTTCATTTCCTCCATCTTCAAAATCGCAGAGTTAATTCAAAAGTCCTGTTAGGTCACATATGCTTGCTTTTGAAAAAAAAAGTGGTATACGGCATATTATTCCCCCCCCCCTCTTTCGATCTTCTAATTGGAAGATCAGTAGAGTGTGTTGGAATTCGGTTCTTTCGAGCCTTGCTTGGGCTCGTTCTATCTTTGAATATAGCGAATTCCGTTCCACCTCAATCCACGTTCTTTTCGCGCTTTGCGCTTCCAGGAAATCATGGTTGTGGGAAACCACATCACGGAAGAAAAATGATCCTTCCTCATGATCCCGCAGATCCTGATAAGCTGCCTGGAGAATAGAGAAATCATCCGTTGCTCGGATAGAGTCAAGATAGGAACGAAGCGCCCCCTCCAAAAGGTAGGGTTCTACCGGAAGTACGGCTCCGTTCCTCGCGTATAGAGCTAGAAATTCTTGAATTAGATCCATCCTAACATTGGATGTCCTTTCTTCCATTAGGAAGAGCCTCAGCCGCCCAGGTATGTCCTCCAGAGGGGTGTTGTGATTCAGCTCCTGCTGAATGAACGCAACCCACTCCGGATCCTGCTCGTAAAGGCTCAGATAGAAGTTTAGCCCTTCTAAATGAGCTAGAGCCTGTGGGTCTTGAACTTTTGGGGGAAGAGTGATAAGAAAGGAGCAACAAGTTAGAAGGGAAAACATCTGTACTATGGGGAGGACTATCCGATAAAAGACTAGAAAAACTAAAATGGAAATCTTCAAAAAGAAGATCAAATATGGAATACATAACATATAAAAATAAATAGTCGACGAAATTTCGCTACTTATCCTTTTTTTTCGCTCCTGTAGTGATTTAAGCACTACTTTAAAGATAACCCCCCCAGCCGAACGACTACTAAATGCTCGGCAAAGCGCTCTCCCCTTTATGCTTTGTCTCATTCTATCTCTCGTCATCACTCGATGAAACCTCTACTTCAATGAAAGCTCCTCCTACTACTCCCCCTTATCCTTCTCACTCGTCGTTTCGTTGGTCTTTTATATACCCATTGATTGTCCTCGGAACAACTATTGCACGCAGTAGGGAGTTCACTGGTCAAACTATGTCAATTGAAAAGGAGGGATCCGGTGGTCTGGTCTCTGTGCTTCGCTTTACCTCTACCCATTTCCGCACCAATAGGAATCTTGCGATTCGAACCCTCCACTCAATCTCTCTCGCCTCTATCCATCTCTTTTGTTCTATCATCCATCAGCTCTTGTCCTACAATTCTCTTTCACTTGCATTTTCTTTCGTTCTGAGGTGGAATCGAACCACTGAAGGATTTCAAGGGCAATGCCCCTTGCTCTTCCCACTGAAACAAGCAAAAAAGGATTTGCAGTCCTTTGCTCTAACCAGCTGAGCTACCAGAACCACTTGCCTAAAGTCTCTTTTCTTCATCTATGAGCATCCCAGTGGAGGAGTTTGCTCAAGAACCGAGAGCCGGGCAGGGACTGGACGGCCCTCGTTCGGGAAGGTCTTCTTCGCTATAGATGCCACCAAGAACAAGAAAGGGGCGCTCCGCTCCTAGTCACTAAGTAGTGCTATTCTATCCGACGGCGGACTCCATCAATCTGAGGTTCTTTCTCTCACGTAATTTCGCCCGCCCGTTCTACTTCCGTGCCGGAGGAAATGGGATTCGAACCCATGATACAATCTTCTTGTATGTCGATTTAGCAAACCAATGCCTTATGCCACTCAGCCATACCTCCAAGTTGTTGATCGGAATTGGATGTGCCGGGTTGGTTGCCCGAAGATCCACTGCGTAAGCCGTAGCGCGCGTACTCTTCTTTACTGAGCGAGAAAGACTCTATCCAGATCTATGGATCTCCCCTGCGTCCAAGCGAGACCCCATCCACATAACCCCTTATTTTCTCTCCAATGGTAGATTCGAACCCCAAATCATAGAAACTACACTATATATGAGTTTCTGTCCCGCGTTTCAATGGGACTCCCTGGCAGTACGGTGCTGAATTCTCTGGCTTTTCTAGCACGCACGGCCTTTTTCATATAGCACCAGGATGATTAAGACTTTTCATAATACTGGGTGAAGCTAATACTTTTCATAAGTAAGAACGAGTGAAGCTAATACTTTCTTTGCTGTGCTATCTCAAGAGTTTAGCTTTGAGAGTTGGAAAGGAAATAGGGCGGTGGGTAAGGCCTATTTCAGAATTTTGTTGATCCCCATTTTCTACTTCTCTTATTTACGATCAGCTCATTTCTTAATTTCATTATACATCTTTCTTTGACGGAATGCAGCATTTGCTCCAATGACTCCCTCTGTTCATCATTTTGTAACTGGAACGTGATGGGATTGTCCTCCTGTATGGGTGGGACATGTTGGTCGTCCCCGGGGACAATCTCTACCTCCGGCTCCGGGTCAGGGAGCGGGGCGTTCAAATCTAGATCCAAAATCTCTCTACTCGGTGGAGCTTCGTCCACGGGCGGAAGATCCAAAAATAAGAGTTCGCCAGCAGAAAGTGCAACACCACTTGTATAAAGAAAAAAATGAAGGAAAGTGACAAAGTCCTCACATTCACGGAAGTAATGGTAAGGAAAATTCCTTACTTTTCCATTTCTTTGGAAAGCTCCTACTAAGATTAGAAATTCCCCAATAAAGCTGCTAGTGCCGGGTAAACTCATATTGGCTAAAGTGAAAAAGAAGAAGATTATTTCGACTTCTACAGCAGACAGCACCCATCTCCATAGTGGAGAGGCAGATGAGGACCCTGAAAAAGTTGTTGCGGCAACTCCAACGAGAAAGAATAAGCACAAAAAAGTAGTAAGAGATCGTTTGGGGACGAGCCTCCTACTCCTAGAATGTATTTTCCGACGAGTTTAGATATACTCTTGGAGAGACAATAACATGATCACTTTTGGACACAATTATGTGTACTTCTGCTCTCCTTGGATTAGAGAGACTGATCCCAACTGGCCTTGGCCAGGAAAAACGAAGAACTTTTTATGCGATCTACAAACGAATGAGATCAGAAAGATAGGCGGACGACTTGACCATAAGGTCGGATGTTTCCGTGAGCAGTAAGCTGCGGATCTCCCCTTTTTTGGGGGAAAGCTGGTGGCCCTTTTGGCGTGTTAATTCTTTCGACGGGGCGGCCTTCTTCGTTCGGTAGATCCGGTCGAGGTGGTTTTCGTTTACCAGCGCGTAGGTGGTCTAAGTTCCTATGACCGAGTCTTTCTGGCCCCTGTGAACATATTTTCTTAATGTATTAAAGAGGGCCTCTCTAACCGGTGAAAAGTGGTAGGTGTCCACTAACGGCTATTCCTGGCTCGGCTCCGATAACGCAATTCCGGGAGGAGTCGGTAGTTGGGCACTGGATCCCTTCGGACCTGGAGAACGTGTGACACTGGGTCGGGGTTTGGTGAACCAACAGGTCGCTCCTTTAGTTGAAGTATCGGGCCCCTTTTTCGTTGCCTAGGTTACACCTTCGGAATACCCCAGACGGGGATTGAGCTCTATTCCCCCCAATCTTCACTTTACGCCACGCCGACTCTCTGTCGTGGAATTAGACCAAGGGTCGAAGACCCATACCATAGGACCCCGTCCCCCGTATCTTATCTTTCGCGCGTAGGAGATCGAGACACAGCCTTAGGGCTATGAGGAAAGTAGATCGATTGCCCTAGAATTACAACTACATAGAGGGTCTCTACAAGTCTATAAAGAAGTTTAAAAAAATTGATCGGTAGTAGTCCGGTCGCACCTGAACAATAATTTTCCAGAGGGAAATGCACCTAAGATCAAATATTTTGAGCCGGCTTCCGTGGAAAATTCAGACTTTCTTTTTGATGCTGCGATCACATAAAAACATAAACTTTGAAGCTCAATAGCTAAATACATGGCAATTAAATCATGAGCCGGGATCATTAAGAGCATACTGCGAGTAGGAAGTGGAATTAATACAATGAATTCAGAAGCATCAAACCTCTCTTTTTCGAAAGAATCGAAACACATCGAAATGGTACCAGCCGTACTTAATAATAGAAGGATTTGGCAGAAATATGTAAAATTGTCCCTCCTAAAAAAATTATTCCAGAATAAATGGGCAATAGTTAGGAGAGGTGCGCCAGCGGCGAGCAGAAGCAAGGTTATTAGATACCGAAGGAAAGCCCGGCCAGAACCACACGTGCAAGTTTCCCTGCATGTGGCTCGTCCGTGATAACTTCTTCGGATTTGCGTGAACTAGCGGACCGATCACTAAGTGGTTAGTACCTCCAGCATGAGCGAACCTTTTCAGAACTGGTTAGGAATGGGCGCCACTATCCCAGCCCGGATCCAGCCAGGTTCTATTGATCATGTCCCCTTCCCAACAGTTGTACCTTGTCTTGGGGTCTTTGGCTTTACTATCACCGGAAAAATCAAAGTCTTTCTCTTCCCGTCCCGGGTCATAGTGAGCCGAAGGTGTGTCCACAGAAGAGGAAATCGCAATGCATCTTGCTCAGCAGGCGTAGCTTGGAGTGGGAGTGTTGCGGGAGTAAGGTAAGGAAAGTGTGGCCTAAGAGAGGAACCAACCAGGGCCTTTTGAGCGCTGCTAAGCTAATATGCGCCAGAGAAAGAAAAGGAGGTAACTATTCGGTCCGGAGCATTGATTCCCCCTAACGAATAGGCTAACTCTATCTCTCAATTGCCTATCCTGTACTCGAGAAGGTCCCCCAGTCCCTCGGCTGCACCTTGAAGTGCATTTAGTTGTCTAACTTTAGACTCGGGATATTCCCCATTCCATGGCATCTTTCGCTTATCCATTCAGCCCGCCCGCCCAGACGCGGCGCCCTTTCGCATTATCATCTACCGCCCTTTCTTTCCTCCCGTCCCTTCACGCATGAAGATCGTCGTATGTATGTTTGACTTCGGTTGCCGGTGCAATAGAATTGGCGGGAGTATATTATGGCAGGATCAGTCACCTGGGCAAACCAACCCTCGTCCAAGAAGAATTGTGCTATGCCCCCCCGATATCCCTATAGAGCGAAAGAGCTGCCTGGTGATCCCTAGGTTGCAGCACGTCCGGTCGTTAACTCCTAGCTAGCTGCCGCTGTTTTTAGGACCGACCGATGCCTCACCTGCAAGCACAGGTACCTACGTAGTGTAGTGTCGGTCGCACATTCATAATAGCGTTCGGACTCATGTGCCTTCCTGAACCAGGGGAGTTCCCTTGCTCCTGCTGCGTACGATTAGCCTGCCTTGCGGCGGCAAAAGGATTAGGACGTCCCCCCATGCTAAGGTTCCCTGCGGTCTGGCCGCATTAGGTTAGGGAGCTAGGCGATAATAGCTCCTCCGCACCCCAAGCGCGCTGCCCTCCTAGGCGCGCAACACTAAGTAATCCAAGCCAACCCACATTACTAACTAATGGTGGATAATCATCTTTCTTAGAGGTACTAAATACAACTCCATGAATGAGCAAAATGAAGGTTGCGTTAATGATAAAGATCTCTGGGGAAACCGCTAAAAAAAGATTGAACATGTGGTTCCGAGTTTCGATAACTTCTTCAGCTTTCATTTTCAATACTGATCGTGAAACACCATGAGCAGCAGGATGTTGAGGTCCGGAATTCGAAGTGAAATTCTTGATTTGCCCGTTCCTAGTCGTCATGGGAAAGAAATAAGAAAGATATTATTATTCCTTTTCTCTTCAGCTATGTCGAAGATATTTACTTATTTGCCGCTCCTTGGCTGTCAAACCTTCCAATTCGAATTTCAAATTCCACCCCCTCTCTCGAACTGAGCTATTCCGATGATAAATCACTAGGACGACATAAGACAGACACATAACCTACGTACCACAATTTCTCCTTAGGCGCATGTCTCGGGCAGATCTGGAGCGACTAGATTGAACAGAAAGTACTCTCACACTATAGAAAAAGTCAAGTCCACTAAAAGTACATGCACTCTTTTCTTACACTTATAGAGTTTCGAAGAAAAGTACTCTCACACTATAGGTAGATGGCTAACATCCCGGGCTACGCTATCTACGACTACTGCCACAGATTGAATGAATTGTGACTGAGCTCGAAGAGAGAGTTTATTGCTTTACCCGCGAGACAGTTTGAACCTCGATAAGTCAGTGTAGTTTAGGCGGTGACTCACATCTGATATGAGAGATAATATATATGCAATTCGTTCGAACTTGCTTAGTAGTGAGTTGGGAACAAGAAGAAAAAGAGGGGGCCATGGAATACACTATTGTAGTAGCTGAAATGGCGGATTCCCCTGCTACATTACAATACCTCGCTCCTTATACGGCCCTGGCTGAGTATTTTATGTACCGGCATACTTTAATAATTTATGATGATCTCTCCAAACAAGCACAAGCTTATCGCCAAATGTCCCTTCTATTAAGAAGACCCCCCGGCTGCGAAGCTTACCCAGGGGATGTTTTTTATTTGCATTCACGCCTTTTAGAAAGAGCCGCTAAATTCAATTCTCTTTTAGGGGAAGAAAGTATGACCGCTTTACCAATAGTTGAGACTCAATCTGGAGACGTTTCCGCCTATATTCCTACTAATGTAATCTCCATTACAGATGGGCAAATATTCTTATCCGCAGATCTATTCAATGCTGGAATTCGACCTGCTATTAATGTGGGTATTTCTGTTTCCAGAGTAGGATCCGCGGCTCAAATTAAAGCCATGAAACAAGTAGCTGGCAAATCTAAATTGGAATTAGCTCAATTCGCAGAGTTACAAGCCTTTGCACAATTCGCCTCTGCTCTCGATAAAACAAGTCAGAATCAATTGGCAAGGGGTCGACGATTACGAGAATTGCTTAAACAATCCCAATCAAACCCTCTCCCAGTGGAAGAGCAGATAGCTACTATTTATACCGGAACGAGAGGATATCTTGATTCCTTAGAAATTGGACAGGTAAAGAAATGTCTGGATGAGCTACGTAAACACCTAAAAGATACCAAACCTCAATTCCAAGAAATTCTATCTTCTAGCAAGACATTCACCGAGGAAGCGGAAATCCTTTTGAAGGAAGCTATTCAGGAACAGCTCGAACGGTTTTCCCTTCAGGAACAAACAACAATTTTGCATGTCTACTCTTGTTAGTAGAGGAGAAATCGTTGAGAAAGATTTTTCATTTGAATCATGCAAAAAGTTTTCTTAGTTTTTAGTATAGTTATTTAAAGAATAGATAGAAATAAGATTGCGTCCAATAGGATTTGAACCTATACCAAAGGTTTAGAAGACCTCTGTCCTATCCATTAGACAATGGACGCTTTTCTTTCGTATTTTCTTCTTTCATTTTGTAAATAACCTGGTAGCGAAGCTGCAGCTTGATGATTCATAGGGGCCATGGTGTCAAAACCGGGTTACCTAACTAGGGAAAAACTGTTCCGAAGCTCTTCCAAAGCGTGGCAGGCTGGACAGCTTTTATCGAAGCGGACCCCCCGCCCATAGCAAATGTTTGTTGTCATATTTCAATCTAGGGGGCTGCGGCATAACCTGGGTGTGGAGACATGAATGAGTCGAACCCTATTCATCATGACGTAATGTCAAAGAAGTGGCTCAGCGAGGGGCTTTATGCTGATTCAAGGCCGAAGGACAAAGCTCTTCCTCTTCGTGCTTGTCCTAAATAATGATATTCACTGAGGTGTGCTGGCTCTGCTTCAATCTGTTTTCTTGCTCCATGCCAATCGAAGATGAACCATTCACCGAGCCGAGT